TAATAAAGCCTTCTTCTTGATCCGACCACCAAACACGATACATCACATTGGCGACGAGCTCTGAACAATTTTTTTTTTGGCAAAGTAAAACCACGTGAGCACATTTTACTAGTTATACGGAAACACATTGCAATCATCAAAATGCCAGACGAAAGTAAATTGCAAAGTACAACACAAATTCTTCAAGCATCATCAATGCCTGAATTCGACATCAAAGAAAATTGGAATTTATGGCATGAACGATTAGAATTACATTTTTTGGAAATTGGTTGCACCGTAGTAGCAAAGAAAATTTCAGTATTACTGAAAGCAATCGGATCAGAGGCATATGAAATTTTGCACAGCATTTGCAGTCCAACATTACCGAGTGCAAAGACATACGACGAATTGTGTAAATTAATGAAGCAACATTTCACACCGTCAGTTATCATTTTTCACGAACGAAAAAATTTTTATTCGGCGAAAAAGTCAGATGGAGAGTCGGTAGCACAATGGTATGCCAGAGTAAAAAAACTATCATTGAATTGCAGCTTCGGTACATCGCTCGACAATATCATCATGGACAAATTTATTGTTGAATTGCCAGTCAAAATTTTTGAGAAATTATGCGAAGAAGATGAAACATTAACATCGGTCGAAGCATTTAAAAAGGCAAAATTACGCGAGTCGAAATTGATGCAAGGGACTAGCACGTGTACGAGCAATTTTGAGGTTAGCTTTGTCAAACAACGTGGCAAGGCAAAGACGAATATCAGCAACGGTACCAAAGGAACATACGGCAAACCAAAGAAACCATGCATGCACTGCGGATGGAAAAATCATACGAGCAACAGCTGTAAATACAAAAATAGCAAATGCCATCAATGTGGAGTTGTAGGACATTTGAAAAATATTTGTCGTAACAAAGTTCATTTCATAGATAACAATGTTAAATTTATTAACGAAAATTCGGGTCATTTTGAGAAATATTCTAATAATTTTTTCGATTCTATATATAGCATCACTGCAGTTGACGAGCAAGACGAATTTGATTATTCCGTGTACGCAGTTAATGAAAAAAATGAACAGACGAATCGAAGCAATCATTATGAGCTACCAGTATTTGTGAATGGAGTCAGGTTGTCTACTCAATGCGATACTGGGGCGCCTTGTTCATTGATGTCTGTGAACATATTTGACCAATTTTTCGATAGGAGTTCTTTGCAGTTGTGTTCGACACCTTTCACTGGTTATGGAGGTGATTTGATTGACATTTTGGGTGAATTTAAGGTATGTGTCAATTTCGATGGACAAAACGTATTGGGCAAGTTTGTAGTTACAAAGACCAATCGACCAACTTTGTTGGGTCGTGATTTTCTTCGTTCATTTGGATTTGAACTATTGCAAAGACCACACATTCAGTCAAAATCTCATTCTACGGTAAATTTTGTCAATTCATACAATGAGATTATTAATCAAATAAAGAATGAATTTGCCGAAGTTTTTAGCAGTAGCTTGGGAAAGTACAATATTTCCAAAGTTTCTTTGCCAATCTCAAGTGAAGCCGTTCCTATTTTTTGTAAGCCAAGACCTGTTCCATTGGCATGGCGAGACACTGTTGAAAAACAGTTAAATGAATTGGTACAAAAGGGCATGTTAATACCTGTCGATAATGCTGATTGGGGTACACCTTTGGTCATAATACCAAAACCTAATGGTGAATTACGTATTTGTGGCGACTACAAGGTAACAATAAATCGATTTTTAATCGATTACAAGTATCCATTACCGCGAATTGATCAAATTTTTGCATCAATGCAAGGTGGTATAGTATTTACTAAACTAGACATGTCGAGTGCATATAACCAACTAGTTTTGGATGATGAAGCGCAAAATTTGTGCACATGGAGCACTCATAAAGGTACTTTCCGCATGACTAGATTGCCATTTGGCGTAAAACCAGCCGCAGCTATTTTTCAAAAGACAGTTGAAAATTTATTAAGAGAATTCTCTAATGTTTTTTGTTACCAAGACGATATCGTCGTAACAGGAACGAATTTTTCAGATCATTTGAAAACGCTGAAACAAGTTTTGTTTAAGATTCTTACGGCAGGGTTTAAGTTAAATATAAAAAAATGTGAATTTTTCAAAGAGAAAATTTCTTATCTGGGGTTTGACATCACCAAGGATGGTCTGACTAAAAACAAGGATCGCATTAAATCAGTACTAAATGCACCAAGACCACAAGACATTTCTGAATTAAGAGCATTTATTGGTATGGTTAATCACCACTCTAAATTCATTGAAAACTTTGCTCAGAAAATGTCATCTTTGTACAAATTGTTACAAAAGGATGTCGAATTTAAATGGACAAAAGAATGCCATATAGCTTTCGAGCTAATGAAAACAGAAATCTGTTCAGACAAGGTATTAGTTCATTTTAATCCAGATTTACCGATAATATTATCGACCGATGCATGTAATACAGCATTAGCTGGAGTTTTGTCAAATCGATACAATGAGGGCAAAAGACCAATTGCATACGTATCAAGAGCGCTAAATAGTGCAGAAAGAAACTACAGTACCATAGAGAAAGAAGCACTAGCTATTGTATTTAGTGTGATCAAATTGAAACAGTATTTATTGGGAATGCATTTCATTCTTCAAACTGATCACAGGCCATTAATCACAATATTCGGTGAAAATAAAGGAATTCCAATAATGGCAGCAGCTAGAATGCAAAGATGGGCGTTCATATTGTCCGGATTCAATTACACTATTGAATACATTAAAGGTTCTTTAAATGATGCTGATAGTTTATCACGCATTGGACAATACGAAACAGCTGATACAAGATATGAAAGCAATTACATAAACTATGTTGGTTTTACCAATGTTCTACAGTTGAATTTTTCAACAGTCGCGAAATTTTCACGACAAGATCCGATTTTATCGAAAGTTATGGATTGCATCAACAATGGCACAGTAGAACAATTAAAAGGAGACGAGTTTAAATCATTTCGTTTGAAATCAAATGAATTGACAGTTGAGTCGGGATGCATATTATGGGGCTATAGAACAGTCATTCCCAAGAAATTGCAACAAAATGTACTGAATGAGTTGCATTTGTCTCACTTTGGTGTAGTCAAAACTAAGGCTTTGGCAAGGTCTTATGTATATTGGCCAAATCTTGACAAAGATATTGAGAATTTAATCAAAAGATGTGAATCATGTCAATTAGCTCGACCAAGTCCAGAAAAGAGCGAATTAATTCCTTGGAAACCAACTGATTCAGCTTGGAAACGAATTCATATTGATTATGCAGGTCCAGTACATGGTTTTTATTTACTCATTGTTGTCGATTCTTACTCAAAATGGATCGAAGTGTTTAAAACAAAACAAATGACAACGTCATTTACAATAAGCAAATTAAGAGAGACATTCTCTAGATACGGTTTAATTGACACACTGGTCAGCGACAATGGTACACAATTTACTTCGTACGAATTCAAAGAATTTGTCAAAGAAAATGGAATAAAATTCATTCTCATCGCACCAGGCAATCCTTCTTCTAATGGACAAGCAGAGAATACTGTCAAAACTGTAAAAAAATCTCTTATTGCTTCGCTAAGACAAAATAAACCATCAAATTTTGAGGTTGTCTTGGGACGATTTTTGTTTGATTATCGAATCACAAAACATTGCACAACAAATGAAACACCTGCGAAACTAATGCTCAATAAAGAACTAAAAACTCGATTTAGTTTATTGCGACCGCCATTAACAAAGGAAATTATTGAAACAAAACAGCAAGTTGCTATTAAAAATTTCAAGGGCAAACGTAGTGTAGATTTTAACGAAGGTCAAAAAGTATTGGTAAGAAATTACAAAAACCCTAACAAGGCTGGTTGGTCAAAAGCCATAATAAAAAAGAAAATAGGTCCACGAAATTACACATGTTTACTCATCCACGATAATCGTGATATCAAACGTCACACAAATCAAATCATTGACAATGAGACGGTTAAGGTTGTTGAACTCAGCAAAGAAGATTCTTTGACAGAGGTTGAAAATGAGCAAGCACCAGATCTAGTAGAGAGAGATGATGTGTCTGACATAAATGTTGATAGTTCGGACGATGCTGACGCATTCATGGATGCCAACGAATCTATTCCAGATGTTGTTGAAAGACCCGCTAAAAGAGATTCAGCCAAACGAGCAAAAGAGAAAATCACTAAACAATATAAAGGCCATAGCAATCGGAATAATCGAAGACGTTGAGCACGTACACTTCTCTTCATTCCATTTGTTATTAAAAATTATATTCATTTAATTCATTAATATTGTTCATTGATTCAAAGTCACTTATTGCAACGACCCGCTAAATTATTTATAAACTTTATACTTAATTAATTTGGATAGCAAAATCAATTTGATAATTTGAATTATTTACGAACAATTTAGATTTAAGCTATTTTGCAAAGACCAATTCATAATATTTACTTTGGTAGCAAACAGAAAATATCTAATATAATAACGCTTTAATTTTGATATAATAAACATCTTTAGGAGAGAGTTGTTAAGTATTAGACAATTAGTATGCATTGGTAACACTCATAGTATT